CGAGCCTCCGCCTAATCTTTGTCCGCTGCGTCCCAGCTCTTCCTGGAAGCCGCGTCTTCCTGGAACCGGGACCGGACGTGAGGACTCGCGTCAGGGGATAAAGCCCACGGGAGGAAATACCTTTGACAGATTTCCAAGAACTTTCCAGGAAAGAGGGGCGGGGCCACGCGAACCGGCCAATCGCCGCGCTGGGGGCGGGGCGAAGGGCGGGGCGGACCAATGGCCCGACGCAGATCCCGGGTCTAGGCGAGGCCGCTGGGCGGGCCTGGGAGACCTTTGCGAAAAGACTGGTGCGGGCACGGGGCGCCGAGAACCCCGGACGCCGGGGCTTCACCGATCTGAGCCCAGACTTTCCCCGGCCACTCCGCTCCGTGGGGTGCGGGGCGGGGTCTCAGGCCTGGCCTCCCGCAGACCGCCCTTCGGAGGCGGTCGGTAGGGGTGTGCGAGCGCTTCCGGTGGGCCGCGCCGGACCCCGGCGGGATGTGGAATGAGGTTTGGAGAGGTGCAAAGGCAATCCCAAATTTGAGCGAGTCGACATGGGGGCAGGGGAGGAAGGTCCAGCCTAGATCACCACAGCGGAAAGGACCAGGCAAGAACGTTTTCTTTGAAAGCCCTGGGCCTTCCAGCCCTCCCAACCAATCAACCGGGTGCCGGTCTCCCACTCCCGGCTGGCATCCCGAGTGTGTCAGAACAGAACCGCTCCAAGGGGGTCTCAGTGGCTATATTTTCAGAAGCAGATCTCCAGGCCTTTCTTCCGAGGTGCCCCAGGGTGGGCTGGAACCATCAACCTGTTGGATTGCAACTGAGTAGAGTCTGTTCATTGCTGCATCACCCAGGGCTTCAGGGAGCACCAGTGTTTCTAGGGAAGAAATGATTACTGACGTGGGAGGCCAGCCTGAGACAGTCCAACGTCTGGGTTGACGGAGTCCTCCAGAAATGCCTGGAGAAAGACTTGGAGCTCTGAGTACATGGGGGTAACCTGAGGGTCAGGGAGATGGAAGTGTAGCCAGGGTGGGGGCCCTGGGGCAGTGACACCCGCTCCCCGTTCCCACATTTATTTTTCAGCAGCTGTCCCTGCCTGGTGATGCATGCAGACGGCTAAGTCCCAGGGTTGGTCCAGTTGCCACCCAGTTGATGGTGGCTCATGGCAGCCTTAAGTCAGAGTAAAACTATTCGTTCAGGGACTGGTGTTTTGGAAGCAGATTAGCGGGCCTTTCTTCTAAGGTGTGTCTAGCGGGCCTTTCTTCTAAGGTGTGTCTGGTAGCCTCACACGATCGGCCTTACATTCAGCTGCTGAGCACCAGAGGCTGAGACTTGAACCTGGGTCTGTATGATGACAAAGCCCAAGCTCTTTACCACCAGATTCTACCCATTCCCGCAACTTGCCTGGCTTATTGAGTCCCTTTTATATGCCAGGTGCTCTTGGCGATTCCCAGGTGTTGACTCCTTTTATTGTCACAACTACCAGGTATTATCGTCTTTGTGGACAAGGAAACTGAGGTGTGGAGGATACTCAATATGTCCCAGATCTCATCACTGGCAAGTGGTGGGTTGGGACTCCCGAGCTGGAGTCTAATCCGGCCTCCCTTCCTCTCTGGGCACCTGTGACCCAACATCTCCCAGGCACCCTTCAGGACCCGGCCCAGGCCTCTCAAAGAAGCTGCCTTGAGTCCGGGCCAGCCTGGGTTGCACCACAGGTCAGCGACAACAATCTCTGTGAATCAGACAGCACTGTGCACCTACCCCGCATACTGGTACCCTTGGTGTGCCTGTCTAGTGCCTGCCCTTCCAGGGTTCCTCAGGCTACCTGCTAGAGGCTCTCTGGCAGTTTCCTGCTCTGAATGCTGGGCCCACAGTGCCCCCCAGCGGTACTCACTTGGAGGGCCTCTTGCACCACCTCCACAGATGCTTCCTTCCACAAGAGCCCCTTCCTTGCACCCAGATTGTCCTTCCTGCAGGGGCCTCCTCTCCCTTCCCACCCATAACAGCCACTACATGGGGCACCAAGGATCCCCGGCAGCACTTCCCTCCAAACCCGGCTCATTTGGTCTCTAGACTTTCACAAGTGCAAGCCCTTTCCCCTGTCTTCACCCCCGACTCCGCACAGTCCAGGTGGAAGCAAGGTTAGCCCCATCACCCAGGCCTTTCCCGGCCCCCTTGGTCATTGTGAGCTGTTCCTAAGGCCTCAAACCTCCCTGTCCTTAGACACAGAGCTATGCTGGAAGACCTTGTGGCTAAGATGAGACATGCTTTAGGAACCTACTTCCTGACCGCTTCCAGCGGTGTGAAGGTGGATGTGGCACGCACAGTTTGCCAGGCTAATGCATGATGACCCTTCTAGACCATGGGACAGAAACCAAATGAAAAAACCAAACCCACTACCATCAAGTCGACAGGACAGGATAGAATTGTCCCTGAAACTATACCTGTTAACAGGAGGAGAAAGCCCATCTATTTCCCATGGGGCAGCTGGTGGCTTCGAACTGTTGACCTTGTAGTCCGAAGCCTAGTGCATAACCACTGCACCACCAGGGCTCCCATGACAGAGACAGCACGGGGAGACCATTTCCTAGCTGTCTTGGGTGAACCAAGCAGCTGCAGAACATGTGTCCCTGCTGGCCCTGTGTATCCCCTGTGCAGTTCCAGGGACTGCGAGAGGGTGTCACCGCTATTTACTCCCTACACGTCTGTATGGTTTGAATTTGTTACAGCAAGCAGGTTGTACTTAGGCAATCAAGAACTGTAATAAAACAAGGAGACTAAATTAAAAACATTTCTAAAAGTTTAGAGCAATTGTCATCTTTAGTTCTTTTTTTAAAAAGGAACACATCTTCACGGAGACTACATTATGCACCAAGTGCCCTGGGCTGGGGCAAGAAGCCAGTCTCCACCCATCTCTGTCCAGCCTTCTGCTTATCTGGGTGCCTGCCTTCCAGAATGACACCTTGCTCTGCCTTGACTTTGCCCAGCCCAAACCACCCACCCGGAGTGCAGTTCCAGCTCCAGCCTGTAGGCGGCAGAAGTGCTCAGATGACAGAGATTCTATCCAAGCTTGGCGCTCTTGAATCAGATCTCGAGGGTGGATCCAGCTAAGGAGAAATGTGTGTGAGTGGTGTGGGTGTGCATACATGTGCGCGTGCACGTGTGTTGCAGGTGTTCCTCTACTACGAAACCGTGCGTGTACATTTGCGATTATGGGGGGAGGCCGAGGGGAAACTTTGAGAGGGGGCATAGTTTGTAAGTACCATCTGGGCCCTGGAATGGTGTATGAGGCTTGGCATGCG